CCCGGGGGGGCCCGGCCCCGCCCCCCCCCCCCCCCCACGCACGGCGGGGCACCCCTGCGAGGCGTGGTGTGGCGGGGCTCTGCGGTCTTTCCCCCGCTCTGCGCCGCCACAAGCACACGCAGCCCCACCCCATCCCACCGAGCCCGATCGATGATCTCCCCGCGCACAGACGCGGGAGCGGGTCTTCGCGCTGGAGTCGAGCCTGGAGCGGGAGCTGCGCGTGCACGGTGACGCGGTGGGCGCGATGTTCTCGGCGCTGAGCACGCCGCAGCACGCGCGCCTGTTCTGCGGGTCCCGCCCCTTCCTCCCGGACGTCGCCTGCATCCTGGCCGCGGTGGAGCGCGCGCTGGGGCCGGGCGCGCGCCGCGAGCTGGCGCCGGGTAAGCCGCTGCCGGCGCTGGCCCTGGAGTGGGCCGAGGACGAGGGGCCGGCCAGCCGCCTGTGTGGCCGCCGAGCAGACGGCGCCTGCGGCCGGGGACACGGCTGCGACTAGCTGGGTGCCGGAGGAGCCGGCGGGTGGAGCTGGTCAGCACCTGATCAGCCGGCACCCTGGCCCCCCGGCATGGAGAGGCCACCCGGCACCCCAGTCGCCCAGCCAGCCATGGATCGAGCCGGCCAACACCTGGTCCCAGGGCACACCCCTTTTGTCGCGATGCACGGGTACCTGAGTGACACCATTGAAGACTTCTTTCCCATGTACGTGCCACCCCACACATCCTCTCACTGCGCTTGGACATGGTGGGGTCTGGCACCCAGGCGCACCAGCGCCACCTCGCAGGCTTCGTACCCCTTCACCCCCTGATATCCCCCATCTCATTCCTCCCACCCCATGTCGCTCCCTTCGTTGATTGGTGAGCCACCTCATGTACCAATACGCCCCTCTGTTAGCCGTGTTACTACTCGAGACGCTAAGGAGCAGGGATGGGAATGGGGTGGGTGGAGCAAGCCTGCCGGGCGGCGGCCATGTTCACGCCGCAGTCGGGCACCCATGTCGAGGAGCTTGCCGGGGAGCACCCAACCTGCAGCAGTGAGGGCACGGGGTTCCCAGCCATGAGCGTGCAAGAAAAACTGTATGTGGGTGACAGCACCAGGGCCGTACACACCAGCACATCTGAAGCGGCCATGGGGAGGTCACTCGTTGGCAACATGGCAAGCCGCACCCCAACCGGAGCATCAGTGGCCAGCTGCATGCCGTCGAAACGACATTGACAAGTAATCATGGACAAGAATAGTCAAGGGATGCACCCGCAAGGGGACATGCCAACTACCTACGAATAGGGTCCGAGCAAAGCACCCCATCGAGGGTAGTCATGGGAGAATTCACAAATACGCCCCATGGGTAAGAGCACCGATCAACACTACTACGCTGTCCATTCCTTGCTACGGCAAGGCACTCTGTCTCCTCCGTCGGATGTGGTCCTTCACGAAGGTGTCAGACGGGTAGATTCTGATACAGAGATGACGAGATTGTATCGCCCGCTGAGTCAACTACTCAAAGATCGCGTATTGCGTGAGCCGCTGAGAGAGCTCGTATCAGCCCTCGCAAACAACGCTTCATGAGGATGATAAAAGTGACATCAGCCTACCCGGCGTAAATTTGTATAAAAAGTAGCTTAGAGGGTAAAGATGCATCGCTTATAGCTTGTCCCCAAGGCTTGAGGCTGTCGGAAACGAAAGGTCTGTTGAGAGTACGGGAGGGATTGCGTCTGCTAGGCCCTTACGTCGCGCCCACCCTTTACGGCGATCGCGACACTCTTCACCTGAATTTTATGCACATTACAAGGGCAAGCGCTGAGTCTTAGACCGCCTTCTCCCTGATGCTTGACATCAGCGACCCAACCCTGCCACCCCCATTGTGTCAGAGAATCGAGCAGATCTTGGCGAGTGACCCCTTTCCCAATAATCCTACAACCTTGACAGACGGCCACTGCGTTCGTAACCCTGGGTCCAGTGGATGAGTTTATGACACTCAGGAGACGGCTTTCCGGCTCCAGAGAGCTTGCCGAGAGCTCAACGCAGTCCGAGGATGGAGCCCACGGCAACGAACCTGACCCTGGGGAGGACGCGGGTCGGCTTCGCGACAAGAACAAGAAGTGAGACAAGTGTTACTCTTGCTTTATATGAGCACAGTAGTTTTGCAATTGAGGGCGGGCCAGACCTCTCCCTCCCGGGCAGGTCGTGTGTGACCTCGCTGGTTTATGTGCCGATTCCATTGTGCAGGGCCCAAGCTCGGTACAGAGCCAAGCTGCGGAATCAGCGCATCATCACGTACCGCGATCATGCTAAGGTGACCCGTTTGTGGTGCTGGGCGTATCTCTGGAGGGCCAGAGCTTTGGGTCATGCTCTTCAGGTGAGGCTTAGCGCCACCGAGCTCAAGTGGCCTCCATTCTCACCAAGCAGACGAGCCTGGACCTGGACGCCGCCAGGTCCGAGAACCAGTTGCTTACGCATACCAACGACCTGTATGAGCTCGTCATTGCTCTTCGGCAGGAGGCTGTCGGCGTGCTGGAGGCACTGACTGAGGTGATGCCTGGACGAGTGACAGTTTGAGCTTCTGGGGTGGCCTGGGAATGGGAGTCTTTTATAATATCGACGGTACCCTAGCATCTACATATTAATCAGATTCCTATCTTGCTTAAGCACTATCCTGAACCTCCTTGTATCTCCACGCAACCATGCGCCAGCCTTCACCTGAGCCAGCGGGACACGGCATCAGGTCCCGACGACACATTGACTCCACCACCCAGCTCTCTGCCGGCCAGGCAGCCATGCTGCACACAGCCTGCAGTCTGACATGCAGGGATGCAGCCAGCGAGGAGTGAGCGGAGTTTGGTGGGGCGTATTGATCTGGACCCCGCAAGATGTGGATAGTTTGGGGCTGCTGCTGCGATCACAAGCCCATTGTTGTGCTGTGGCATGCCTGAGCACCACAACTGCAACTGCCAGAGCACGATCAAATTCTTGGCGTGTCAAGCTCGCCATCACCCGTCCCCTCCCGTACTCAGGGAAATCCTGGCTTTCAAACATGTCCCCATTGGAAATTTGGTCAGCGCTTGGATTGAGCTTCGATCAAGACTGGCAGATGCTCTACAGCCAGCCCAAGCGGCAGCTGTCAGTGGAGCGGGCCAGGCGGCGAATTTGAAGGAGCTGCACTCCATCCTTCAGGCTGGGGTGAGGAGGAAGTGGACAGATGGGTGGTTTTGTGAATGGATCACCTTGTTGCGGGGAGCAATTGCAGAGCCTGCCCATGTCCAGCATGGTTCTTGCACTGTAGCTCTCCCGCCGTATGGCAGCAGGAAGCCCACTTTCTGACCAGCTCGACTCCATTGCTGCCGCGCAATGTTTGCTTCTTCGCTTCTGCGCTTCACAGCATCAGCCCACTCTCCCATGCACAGCTCAATTTCCTGGGCCGGCTCGGCTGCTATCGCCCAGAATTGATTTCTGTCGTGATGGGAGAGGGCCTGTCCCCCCAACCCGAGACTAATAGCGCTTTGCACTGGCAGAATGTGCTGGTAAGTTGAGAATCGACTGAGGACGCAGTTTAAAGCGCTGCAAGGTGCTGTGGGCTGGGGACGGGTGCGCATGGCACCTCAGATTAAACATCGCCAGGTTTGATTGAGCCGAGAAACACAGGTGCAGTGGACAGAGGCCCACCTGCCCTCATTTGCAAGAGCAGGCGGCTTTGAAACTCAACAGTCATCAGGAAGCTGAGCTGCGCTTGACAAGGGATCGATTGGTGGAGGGCACCTGCAAGGTGAGCCAGGGAGATGGTATGGAGAACCGCGGGTTGCGAAAAGAACGTGGCAGCTGTTTTCCCCTTCAGACATCAAGCCTGCACCTGCACCGCGTCTGCCTGGCCATTTCTGAGTCCTCTGCGCTGCGCCAGGGAGCACGTCGCCAGGAACAGTGCAGACACCTTACGCCGCTGCATGTCCGTGCACCCCTCCATCCCCACCAGCATCCTCGCTCTCATACCATCCAGCTCCATGCGAAGCGCCGTGCCATCCTGGAGGAGCTGGGCCACAGCATCGGCGTGGCCGGGGCGCGGTCGGTGCACGAGGCATGTCGCATCAGTCTGGAGGTGGGCAGGAGCGCTGGGTGGGGCCTGTTCTGGGGTGTGGTCTGTGATGAGGATGCATGAAATTGATTGCCTCACCAGTGTGGCTGGCTCCAGGGGACCCCAGGCATTGCTCCATGGAGCTTCTTCCTAGCCGCACTGTTCCTGAAGGGGCAGCGTCCCTGGACCTGATGCTCTCCTTAAACAGTGCAAGGCTGACCTAGGCTCACAAGGTTGGTGGCAGTGCAAGGATGGCGTGCCCATCCGTGCCTCCTTCCACGAAACCTGCAGGTGCAGGCAGGCACGAGCGTGCTTCGGGCCACTGTGGAAGCCGAGCATCGCCTGCATCGCGAGGTCAGCAGGGCACTCCTCCTGGACACGCTGGGACCCACGCAGCAGGCAAGGCTGCTGGTGGCCGCGCACCCTTTCCTCCCCGATCCCCTCATGTGAGCCCGGGGGCGGAGGGGAGAATTGATATGGTGGGCCCTGGGAATTCCAGTGACGCAGATGGTGGGAGTCTTTCGACTGCAAAGGTCAAACAATCACCACCTGCCTCCACACTCCAGGCTCCTGGATGTCGTGCAATTACACGGCGCACACCCATCCATCCATCCAGTCACCGAGATGTCAGCAGCTGCCTGATGTGCAAGGAGTGGAGTTGGGGTTCCATCTTTGGAGCTATTAAGCTTAACGTCAGGAACGTACCAGGCCCTCTTCCCGTTCTCTCTTGTATAGGATTTCCATCTCACAAAGCGCCCTGATTCAGTCCCAGGCATCACCATTACAGATAATACCTCCCGGCAGTTACAGGCAAAGCCAGCTTTCTTTCATGCATCTCCCCCTTGGAGACGAGTACCTTGTTTCCAGATCAACTCTTGCTCACCTTCCTGTGCTACCCTCCCACATCTGCCTCTTAGATGCCATAATCGTCAGGAAGTCATAATGATACCTTAAACTTGTCACAGGTATACAATCATCTGTGAATGCATTTTGATTCGTCGGGGAAAGCCCACTCCACAGGCTCCAGACAACACGGGGGGACATGGCTCACCCAACCAGCTTGAGAGATTGTGGAATGCGCAAATCGCTGGCGTGACGCTCCTCCTACTCGCTGCAAATATGGATAGTCCCTTAACACCATATCACATCGCAGTTGGTAACATCGGACTCACAGACGTTGCCAGCATCGAGCGCGGTCTCGGAATGCAAGCCTCTCCCTTCACCATAACGTAACTTGCTGAGTCCGTCACTACCTAAAAAGCTCACGACCTCGACATTACCTCAACTCCATGACATCATGACGGGAAATCCAAGGGATACCAAAGTCTGCCTGAAAACTCGACTGCTGTGCTCATTGTGATTATCAGAAGCTGCCAGCTCGACTGGCTAGCGGCATGACCGCTCACTGCGCCATCGACGCATTCCCCCCAAACTTCGTGCTGGTGCCCTCTTCCAATCGAGTTTGTGAGAGTCAGATACGCCACATGGATGTCAATACCGGGCGACACGTTGGCGCAGCTGCCCACGAGTCTTGTGAAGACCACAGTGCAGATTCAACATGCCGGAAAAGCCAGCACGACCGGGAGAGGAGTCGCAGGTCAGAGAACTGGGCTTGCTGGCATGGATGATGCATGCACAGCAACTTCAAGTGTGGGCACAGTGGTGAAGCACCATGCCCCATCAATATTTACTTGCAGGAATCAGGCCATGTATCGTGCCAGGAAGCGCGAAGAGTGGGGTGCGCTGGAGAATGACTTTGCCGAGGTAAAGTGGTGTGGCGCGTACAGTCTAAGAAGCCGCATGCCGTGGTGCATAGGTGCTCTACTGTAGATCGGAGCAGTGTGCTGCTCTCTCTCATGGGGAGAAGCCCAGGGAGACACTGAAATAAGTCACCCCTTACAGTTCCGGTTCACTATCTCCCTCCAGACAAAGGGTGCACTGGCTTCAGCAAGAGCAGAGCATGCACAACTGACTAAGAGTGCTGTGCTGCTGGAAGCCTCAGTGGACCTGCGCTCGACCCTCCTCGAGATGCTTCAGGCAGCACAGCAGGCATGTTCACCGTCTGCATAATGCTGTTGGTGCTGCGATTGCTCGGCACAAATCATGATAGCCGGCGCCACTTGGACGTGCGGCCTGTGAGTGTCACCATGCACAACACCCCTCTCCCAGAGTGGAGCCGGCTGGGAGCGCCCGCATGCTGCACCCTTCGAGGAACCGGGGCTCAGCTTTGGGCAGATGGTCTGTCTCGAGGCAGCCTGCCAGGTCGCTCGCCAGCAGGACAGCCCGACCCTCTCACAGGGGTGAGGACGCTGCATGGTGGCAGGGCTGCCTCCTCTAGGGGTCCCAACATTGGATGGTACCTGCCGTGTGGTGGGGTTCCGGGACTCTCGGCTGGGCATTTACTCCTCCATCAACCCCTTTGAACCCCCTGCCCCTTCCAGGGACATGGAGGTGTTCAGGAGACGGCCGATGCTGGAGGTTGGCAGGGAGTTCAGGGCGAATGTGGAGAGTATGGTGGAGATCCTGGCAAAGCATGGGGCAGGCGTGCGCCTGCCACACGCAGCCGAGGAGGCCGTGGAGGGTATCCTTGGCAGACAGGTGAGCCAAAGCCCTGAGTGGGCTGCATCTGGTTCAGCCGCACTCGCTGGGGTGTTGGAGCCCGAGAGGTTGCACAGCCACGGCCGACGGCTTGGATGAGGTCAGTAGTTTGCCGCCTGCACACCAGAGAACACCTTGAACCCACCAATCATCTGTGCCACCCCATGCAGCGCCGGTTGCTGTGGCAGATAGCCACTTATCGACGAGGCCAGGTGCACAGCATCATGGAGTCGGCGGCTGCTGAGAGCAAGCCCATCGACCGAGACGCGGATGCTGTGTGGCAGGATATTGCGGTGAGTTCCTCACACAGGAAAGGCTGAGTGGGTCTGCCAATGGTGCACGGGACTTGGGGGAAAAATGGTAGGGCATCATAGGATCGCCAACCTGACTTGCAGCCGGACCGGCCATGAGCGCTCGCCGGCCACCAAAATGGCAGCTGCCCTGACAGCACTATGGTCTGCACACCACTGCAGCGTCAAGTGCGCCTCTCGCCAGCTCAGCGAGTGGAGCTGGATAAGTATCGCGACGCCCTGAGGTCGACCATCCACTCAGTGAGTTGGCAGGGATGGCCGTTGCTGGATCAGCATCGCGATGTCACGCTCTAGAGGGGGCCATGGGTTGCCAATCTTAGCATGCTCATGTCCACGCCCTGCCGAGCCCCCGACCTCCCAGGCACAGGCTGAGCGAGCCCATGTGCTTAAATGCATGGAAGAGATGGGATGTGGGACACCCGGCGCCAGCTGCCTGGCAAATAGACAGATGCTCGCGGTGAGGGCATAACTGCCAGTTGAAGATGGTTTCTGCCCGACGTGCTGTCTGCATGGCCTGAAGCTGGAGTACGGGTTGTGGCGCGAGCCATGGGGGATTGTAGCATCAGGGCGGGAGTCTATGGGGACATGCCGAAGCAGGGCTCTCGCCATGTGCGCCTGCACTTGGTGCCTGATAGGAGCCACACCCCATGCTGCCTGGTTCCCCATTCGTGGCCTGGACCAGGCTCCACCGTTTTACAACCCGTTGCCAAACAACCCTGCCCGTCCAGTGGCGTGCGACCACCCAGGATCTGAGTGCGAGTCTTTCTGCAGAGCGCAATGCTTATGTTGAGCACTGCCCTGCCATGTTTGGACGCATCATGGATACTCGGCAGGTTGGTGGTGGTTGGGGTGATGTCGGTTGTGCGATGGAGCACGGATGGGAGGTGGCTTTTCTGCCCCATAAAGCGCTTTCGAATGAGCCTCAGAGGCATCCTCTCCCTTTGCAGAGAGCTATCGTCATCATTGCTTCACACCCGCTGCTTCCAGACCTTCCCCTGTGAGTTTTGTGTAGGGAGAGCCACAGGAATGTCAATGTTGGGATCAAGGTGTGGCCTTGGAGATGAAAGCATGAGTGTCGTGTTTGTTTTCCCGCAGGTTGATGGATCATCTACTGGGCATGGAGGAGTTGAGTTAGAGTGTGTAGGCTGGACCATCTGACTGCAGACTCCAGCGGCATTCTCATCTTGGCATGGCCCTACTCCTCCAAGCCAGTCAGGCCATTCAGTGTGACGAGGCACAATACCATGGCAGCGACTGGCTGAAATATGAATGTACCCTCGACTCTGTGGCACAGTGAGTTGCCCGGCTGTCTTGCAGCCTATTGAATGAGGCAGTCTGCGACGGTTGCCAAACCCTAGCCTGTGATATTCGTGCCTGGCTAGAATTGAGCGCATTTCAACCTGTTCTTCTTGAATCTCGGATGCTCAGATAATTTGCGGAGGGTGAACCAGCTGTGTGGGAGATTGTTACAGCCATGTTGTTTTGGAGGGTAGTCGCTCTCACGAATCTGCCTCCTGATCCTTAGCACTGCCACCGGCCCCCCTCAGCACATGTACGAATTCGGAAGATCGTCTGTCTCGAGATTTGCACAGAAGCCATTCTATTCATCCGTATAAACTCGCGAATTCGTATCGTGCTATGCTTATCTCAACAAGAACGAAACGCGGCTCCAGCTCTGAGCTTGGGCTTACCCTAAAGGGGGGTACACACTGCCTGCCTTGTCGCGCGTATGTAGGTCGTGCCGATGGCACCTGAGGAGGCAGCCTCAAAGCCAGAGCCGGATGGCAGGCTCCCTTCGGATCTGAGCCTGGACATATTTGCCGTCGCCGACCTCGTTCCTCGTCCCTCCTTCACCTTGAGCGACATGGACTTCCTGGAGGGAGGCGCGATGAGGTCAGGGCCCTCCGTGAATGCCATGACGGCAATCATGGACCCGATGGCAGCACTCCACCAAGCAAGCATCCCTATGAAAGTAGCGATAACCACCAGCGACCGTGCAGCTCCCTCCCTGCTGGTAGATCCCATCCCCAGCCTGGTGGATGCCACAACCAAGCCTGGACCGCCCAGCCGCTCCCGGGAGAGGAACAGAGAGTATGTTCGAGTTGGGTGTGAGTGTGCATGCACGCAGGGGGTCAGACACTAAGGCTTGGCGAGGAGGACGCTGGACACCTGCGACGGCTGCATTGCGACGGCCGGCCCCGGGGTCCTCACAAAACTCTCTCAGCCCTCCCGCTCCCCATTCCCCTTGCAGGGCCCAGGCTCGGTACAGGGCCAAGCGCAGGGCTACAGCGGCACACGCCAAGGCCTCCCTGGACAAGGCAAGCTGTCGCATCGTTCTCAATTGGAAAGGGGGCCGACCCTGACGGGCCCCTGGGCCGCCGTATCTTTACTCACGGCCTGCCAGGCCCCTTGGGTCTTATCCTGTCGACATGCCATGCATACAATCCATCCTTCAGAAGCGCCACCTCAGCGATCTCACCCCCGGAACCTCACCCCGTCCACAGCTGAACGAGGAGCTGGTGGCTGCCAAGCGCGAGAACCGGCTGCTGACCTGCCGTTCGGTGCTGTATGAGCAGGTGCTGTGCTCCCGCGAGGACTACCTGAACCTGGTGCGCTCGCGGCGTGAGACGCCCTTCCCCGCCTGGGGCAACAGCCAGGGCGACCCGCCCCCGCTCTACTACAGCTGGACGGAGCCGGATCTGCCGCCGGGGCAGGCGGCCTGCCTGGACGGCCTCTGCCGCTACCTGGATATGCTGGACCCGCCCGCCCTCCCTCCACCGTGCGTGGCGATCTCGGTGCCCGTCTCCGCATGCCCTGCAATAAGGAACTGTGGACTCGGGCCGCCCCTTCCGCCGCCCAGGCTGGGACGTGCGGCGTGCGCAGGGCCACTCCTATGCATGGCATGTCCATGTTTTGGCAGCTCTTACGCCCACTGCCGCCGTGTCCCGCACCATCTCTTGCGGATATCCACTACAAATGTATACCCCCCCTCCATATACACCCCCCCCCCCTCCCGCACCCTCCGCATGCAGCGAGGTGGTGGTGTTCCGTGAGACCCCCCTGCCCAGCCTCAGCCGACTGTACCGCGACACCCGGGCAGAGATGATGCACGTGCTGGACGTCATGCACGTCGCACAGAGCGCGCCTGCCACGGAGAGCGCGTGCGAGCAGCTCATTGGCACCGCCAGGCGCCTGGTGGGGGGGTGCAGTAGGTGGAGGACTTCATTTGGGGGGGAGGGGGAAGTGAAAATAGTGGAGTGAGATGTGAGGTTGGTGCTGTTTTGACGTGAGAATGGGCAAGAGTAGAAGAGGCTGCGTGCTACGATGGACAGCGGCTACCCTGCCCACTGGCCCCACTCCCATGGTAGATGGCGCCACTCCTGCCGTGGCCTCGATATGTCCCCTTCCCCCCCCTCGGAGAGGGAATCTTCTCCCCACCCATACTGCACAGCGCTCCATCCTCTGGCGCTGCAGCCGGTATCGCCCCGGCATCCTCACCCGCGTCGTGCGTGGCGAGTCGGCGCAGGCGGCCGCCCCCGACGAGGCGGCGCACTGGCGTGCTGTGCTGGCGGCCATGGCGCTGTCGCCGGCCCAGTCGGCGGCCATCTTGGAGACGCGGGCCGCCCTCCTGGCGCGCATGGACAGCGTGAGTGGCTTTTGGGGGGGAGGGGAGAAGGCGCTGAGGCAGGGGACCCCCCCGGGGCCAGTGAACCGCGTCGCCTGGCAGAGTTCTGGACTCGATGGCCTGATGAGCGTCCTGGCCTGGGACCAGACACTCTGGCCACCTTGCCCCTGCACTCACGGGTCATCGCCCCCCTCCCACCCTTCCCGAATCCCCACAGGTCCTGGCCAAGCGCCGCAGGCTGCTGGCGCGCCTGGAGGAGCTGCCCAGCCCCGACTCCCAGCTCGACACAGCGGCCCTACAGGAGGTGAGGCTGTGAGGGTGGGCCGCGATGGAGGTGGAGGAGCCTTTGGGGGCTCCCCAGGTCGGCCCGGGGCCAGGTCTGCCCGCGCGTCAGCACCATACCCCGGCCCACCTGGGTTGAGCCTGTCGCCATCCCTTGCATGCCCCCCATTTCCCCCTCTGTGCAGTGGCAGCGGGCCACGCAGGCCGTGGCAGCAAACCTGGACGAGGAAAAAGTGGCGCACCGGGACGCCTACATGGCGGCCATCGCGCACACACTTTCTTTGCGCCAGGTCAGCACGAGGGGTGTGTGTGTGTGGAGGGGGTGAGGGTTCAATGCAGCGGGGCTGCATGCCGGGCGGGCCGGTGGATCGCGCAGGGCATTGTCTGCTGCGCTCGTCGTAGTTGGAGCAGGCTCGCCACCTGGCACTGGACCCACCCCGCCCCAGCCTGCACGCGCCCTCTCCTCCTGCCGCTGGTCGCAGAAATGTGTCATGCTGGCGACGTCCTACCCCATGCTGCCCGACATGCTGGCGTGAGCGATTCCCATGCGATGGGAAAGGCTCGACACGGGGCCCTGCTGCCTTACAATGGCTTGACAATTGCCGCTGGTGTGCCTCCCAGTCTTAAGGCCTTTGTCCTCTTCCCGATCCCTGGCCTTACCACACCATTCCCACAGGATATTCTCGATGAATGAGCAAACCCGGGCTGACATTCTTCCCCCTGGAGCCATCACCACCGCGCCCTAGCCACCCTCCTCCCATAGACTGATCGCCTATCTGCATCCATACAAGCCCTTCAACATTGGTTTCTTGTCCCGTCTGTGCCAACGATTGTCCCGTGAGCACTGCACCCTCCTGTGTTGTTTGTAAGAACATTCCTTCCCAAAACCCCTCCCGGGGCTGATCAATTGTTACGAGACCTTCCAGGCTGGAAGTCCGTAATATTTCCTGCGGGCCGGCTAAAGCCTTGCCGCCAGCCCTATCAACTTCCTTAAATCGACCGTGATGGCAGATTCGGGGCATCGATACCACATTTAGCAGCGCACGGGGTATCCAGCGAGCCCGACCAACAAGAATTCCCAGTTGGTCGTCACGGGATGCATGCGATCCCTCTGGACCCATGGGCGGGCTTTGGACCCACTCGACTTATTCAAGATGATTTACAAGACCTCCTCGCCTGTGATGCGCCTGAGATCGCGGCAGTGAGGCCGTCCAGTGGCTCCGAGTATTCGTGGGAGGACGTGCACTCCGACCCCTTCCATAGCAGAAATCTCGACCCCTCACCGATCGGAACACCTGCACACCAACCCGGTTCGACCTCTGAGGAAGACAAGGCTGCCGCAAAGCAGCGAAAGCGTGAATGGAACCGCATGTGAGTGTGCAGGGTTGCCATCTGTCTGGGAGGGAGTGTTGGATGTGGAAGGTGCCCTTCAAACAGCCCTCCTGGCTCCCCAACCCCTACCTCCCAGCGCCCAAGCCAAAGCGCGGGCCAAGAAGAAGAGTCAGGAGCAGGCCGTGCGGCAGTGTTACGAGCAGGCACGATAAGGGTCATCTGCGCATGGGGTGGGAAAGAATTGTGATCATGCATGACTCCTGCATGCCTCTCGAGGCGCCCTACATGGTCCCCACATTCAAGCCTCCACCGCCCACCCATCCATTTCCTCGCCAGGTCAGTGCTGAGCTGGCACGTGCCAAGCGGGAGCACGAGTTGCTGGCCCGTGACAACGTCCTCCTGGAGCGGGTCATTGGCGTGAAGGACCGGTATGTCGCCGCCCTGGAGGTGGCAGCCCCGCGGTCGGACGCCTGGCTGGACACCCCCGTGGCTCGCGCCGTGAACCTAGGCCTGCCCCTGGGCCAGGCAATCGGGGTCAAATGCTCCTCTGTGAATCTCAGCATGCTGGTCCCACCCCCCGTCCTCACCGGCAGGTGTACTGTGTGGGGAGTTGTTTTTGTTGTGGGAGGGTGGGTATTTGAGCTTCAAGTGTGTATTAAAAACGAGGCATGGTGATGTGTGTCAGGGCGGGGCTGTGCTGTGTAGCGCAGGGGCAGGCTGCAGGGGGCAAGGCCTGCCCACGTGCCCACCTGCTGCTGCCTGGGCACGGTAGCGCTCTGGTCTGACCCTCCAATCCCTGCCTGCAGCATGCGGACGGAGTTCCAGTCCCTGCCACTTGACCGATTCCGCGCCATGTACCGGGACGGGGTGGCAGAGATCACGGCACAGCTGGAAGCTATGGGCCCCGACCCCGTCTTCATCGAGGCACCAGAGAACCCGGTGTGGCTGCGCTGCATCCATCTGGTGCGGGGCGATTCTCGTGGTTTGCATGTTCTTCTGTGTGGGAGATGGGTGCCCTGGCTGGTCCAGGCAACCAGGGAGGGTGACCACCTGCTGGGCGGCTTGCAATCTGGGTCGCACGTGTGCGTCTATTGTGGGTGAGGCATCGAGTCCAGGCGTTTCCACCCAGGGCAGAGGCCGCGGGTGGCACCTGGTTGCTGGGCACACCAGCCCGATGACGATGTGTGGGTGGCGCTCATCCATCAGCTCCACCACAAGCGAACCAGGCACCTGCACGACCTCCTCCCCTGACTCGCAGCGCAAGCTGTTGTGGCAGATGTACAGCTACAGGCTGCGCGACCTGCCCAAGATGTTTGCACCCTTGCACGACATGCATCAAACCCCTTCCAGCCTCGACTATGCGAAATTCCTGGTGGGTGTGAACCGATCAATCCCTGCCATCCCATGTTCCCCTTAGGCAGGAGGCCTTGCACAGGTTCATGGCAACGAAGCTGCCAGAGGTACTCTTCATTGGCCACCCCTGCACATACCTGATGCACAGGATGAGCTGGAGTTTTCTCCTGCGCAATGCCGGCTCGCAGCACAGACACACCGAGAAGTGGAAACCGCGCTCAAGCAGGCGAGGTGGTCACGTGGTGGAGGGCGGTATGAGGGTGGACTCCCTGTCTGTGACCCCACTCCTGCACCAAGACCATGCTCAAATGACTGCCGTCCAGATCCGGGAGGAACGGAAAGCCATCGTGGCGTGGATGCTGCCCCTGCGCATGACCACGTCAAACAGCTTGATAGAGGCATCGCAACAGGCATTGGAGGTGAGCATCAGCATGAGGGAGGAGTATCCCCTACGACAGTGCTGGCCTTCAAGAGAGGGCCTAGAATCCGCAGGATGGTTGAGCAGACCAGGCCCCTTGTCATACTGGTCGTGACCTGGGTGTCTGCTCTCCCGCCGGGAGCAGCCCGCGAGTGCCCGTCACTTTCCCAGGCGGTCCATTCACCAACCTCACAACCTCCATTGGAGCAGCTGCAGCGAGCTGCAATGCTGTTGCAGGAGGGCATGGACAGGGAGGAGACTGTGCTCTTCAATGCCAGCACCACCCTGTACATGAGCATATTCAAACCTTATCAGGTAGGGACTTGGCACGAGTCGCTCCAAGGGCCTGGTTGTGAACCGCACTGGGAGACATCTCAGGACGGTACATCTAGTCACTTGCATGATCGCCGTGTCCATGCGCTCCTTGCCTCTGCTCATCTGCAGAAGGCGAGGTTCACCCTATTGTGTTACCCTTGGCTCCCGGATCCTACAAGGTGGGAGTGGAATCGGTGCTGGTCATGCTGTTGGGTTTGTCTTTACCGCTGGATGGTGTCATTACGAATGCACCTCTGCTGCCAGAATCGGCCACATGCACTCCTCTCACACCCGTCACAGAATGTATTCAGCGGCAGCGGAGAGATCGCATTGAGGCGGGAAACCCATTCATTGATGTTGTTCTGTCTAGAAAGTTGCATGCCTGTACTGCTCGTGTGATTCCTGGTGGCTCTCGAACCGAGACCGCTTACGTAAGGATCTCCGAATGTCTCTGGTGAAGAACCCAGGGAGGATTGCCCCGATAGTGGTCGCCCAGTCCATCTGTCCTGATAGTAAACAGCCTGTGATGACCCAGCAGCCTCGTGCCAGCGCACTCGGTCCTCTCCAGTCATAGCGAAATCCCTGTTGAAGGCCGACGTAGATGGCCTCCCTCCTGGACGAAAGTGCATTCGCTGACGCCGGAAGTATGGTCTTCATGCACGAAATGGGGAGTGCTGCCAGCGAGGAGACGACCCCTCGGCCCCTCACGTCGTCGGAGAAGGCCAAAGCCCGAAATCGCAGGTCTGCCGAGGGTCTGCCCTAGCCACGGAAAGTTGCTGCCCCTTGTGAGCGCCTATTCTGCTAGCTGTGAGACGTCCTCTAATGTTGACACGGAATTGCACCCGGCAAGTAACCTCTGCTTGAGGCTCTCCTTGCTCAAAGTCTCCACATGCACTCACAGGGCCCAGGCCACCTACAGAGCAAAGCGGAGGATGGCCAAGGTCCAGATCAAGAACACATTTGCACAGGTGGAAATTTGGGAGTGTGGTGCTGGCAACATGAGACGCTTCAGGATGCAGACCGGCTGGTAAAGGTGCTGCCATACCCCATCAGTCTTGCCCTGTGCGCACTTGCTGTTTCTGTGCCAGACCCTGAACCCTCTCTTCGCCTTGGAAGTTGAACTCTGAGCTGGAGGAGGCTAGGCAGGAACATGAGATGCTGCGTGTCAGGGACGACATTTTCAACCGCGCCCTGTATGTGCGGAATCAATGCATCGACATTCTTCAGGCTGCTGCCGAGACCTCTGTGAGTACTGAGGAGTGGATCCTGCTGGGGAGAGGGTGTTTATTAATACCAGCTGTTCTCACTTAAAACTGTCAAACCTCTTTTTCGTGTGTTTTGGGTACGGCCAGAAACAATGTGCCAGGGGTGCTGGAGTTGGCGTGGGCTGGACACCTCGTTGTTCTGCCGCTGACCTGTCCCCGCGGTGATGGTGCGTATGCAGCAATTCAGTGCGCCCTGACCAGCATACAAGCACCCTAGGCATGCCACCTTGATCACATCCAGTTCTCGTTTGTGTCGAGTCATCACAGTCAGAGCCCTCTCTCGCCAAGTAGGGAATTCCGAGCATGCCCAGCAACATCAGGGAGCCTGGGCTGACGGCCGGGCAGCTGGGGCTGCTGTACAGCTCCGGCTGGGAGCTGGACAGGAAGGCCGATGAGCTGCTCCTGCATGGCAGGTGCGAGGAACTTGGGTCATGTATGCCGGGCATGCCTGCGCCTCTTTCCTCGATGCATGCCTGTGGCATGGGAGGGTACATGTACCCTGTGCCCCTCACAATGGGGTGCACTGTATTGACACTCTTCCTCCCCGCTCCTACCCGTCCCAGCGAGCTGCTAGCCTTCCAGAGCGCGAGCGTCGAGCAGCTGGGGGACGTGTGGGTGAGGACGTGCAGGGGTCTGCGGGAGGACACCCGGCGGGCGGTGCAGCTGCAGGACTCTGGTGTCCGGGATGAGGCCCTGCTGCAGCGCATACAAGAAGTATTTGCTCGAGGAGTGAGTTCCTCTGGGTTTGGAGAGTGGAGTGCAGGACTGGCGGGGCCTGCAGGGTGCTGCGACGTAGCATCTGCACTCCCTGCCAGTGCCAGGGAAGGCAGGAGACCCTGCCTCCCTCCCGCAGCTGGCTGGGGGATGAAATTTGCGGCAGATTATAGCACCCTTTGGGTAATTGGTCATGTTGCAAAACCAATCATCCCCTCCCCACCGTCCCCCCCCCCAACCCTGCAACCCCAGCGTCTGCGGCTGTGGCACCTATGCAGGCATCGCCCCGGCTGCGTCGCCGAGGTCATTCGCGGTGGGCGCACTCCTGCCTCCAACTCCTTCGCACCGGAGCGGTGGCTGGCGGTGCTGGACGCCGTGCGTTTGACCCCGGAGCAGGAGTCCATCCTGGACAGGGTCCAGACCGTGGCCCTGTCGCACCTGGACCGGGTGAGGGTGGGGAACTGTGGTGCTGGGTGGGGTGGCAAGGGTGGAGTGCATTAAGGAGTGGGCGTGCATGGCTCCCTGACTGGACCCCAAGGCACCCTTTTGCATCCGGCCTGGTGCCAGGACAGGGCGATCTGACCGGGAGAGCGGCTTGCCTGAAGGGATCTTGGTCCAGGAAGGACCTACCACCATGCACCCTGTCCAGCCCAGCTCCGTCTAACTCCCCACTCCTCCTCGGGCGTGCAGGTCATGGAGCAGAGGAAGCGGCTGCTGGACGCTGTGGCGCACCTCCGCGAGCGTCGGCCCTCCGGGCTGGGCCAGCTGGATCTTACCCTCTCACTCAACGTGCGTGCACGGAATGGGGCGCTTGGGAAGAATCGTGCCCTCGAATGGCTATATATGGGCGCGGTGCAGTGTCGGTGGGGCGCCATGATCGAGCCAGCAGGAAAGCCGATGAGAAGGCTGGCCTGTTCGATGCACACCATCGACCTTCATCCCTCCCTTTCCTCCTCCCAGCTGCACTCTGTGGTGGAGAGGCTGCAGGAGAATCTGGAGGAGGAGCGCAGGATCACGACGGTGCCCTGCAAGGCCCTCTTCTCCAACGATTTCACCCATTTGCAGGTCGGGCCGGGGCTGGTTGACCAACTTTGTAGGCCTGGTGATTAGAAAGGGGGATCACATGCTTCTGCTCAGTGTTTTGGGTGGGGGACGGGAGTGCTGCCTCGAATAAGTCTTGCTCGCGGGCCACATCTAGCAAAGAAATGAACTGGCTTCCCATGCTTCGGTCGCAGAGGGCCATCATTTTCTCTGAGTCGGCCCCCACTCTGCCCGACTTTCTCTGGTAAGAGGGTGCTGCTGAGCTGGGGGTACTGCGTACACCTGCCCAGTCCGGGGAGCAAACAGGGCAGCGTGCAGATTGATGGGGCTGGTAGTGTGCTCCAGGATGGCACCAGCACCCTCCGCAACACCCTATCGTGCACAGCATCCTAGCGGCACGAGATGCGCGGCAGCGGAAACTCCGGTCTGGGATGGCCTGACGGTGACACAGGTCCTAGGCAGGCTGCCGAGTTGGATGCCTCCTTGTACAGCTGAATCAGAGGCTGCGTGGTTTGTCACTGGATCGAGATTGGAGACGAACGTCACAACATGGAGTTCGGCTGCAGGCATGGCACTCTGTCGATGGGACAAGAAACCCGTGTTTTTGCAGGCATGTAAAGCTTTTATCCCCGACCATACACGTTATTGAGCAATTGGAGGAAAAAAATCGGGTCCAAATGTGTGTTTGCGTGCTCCTTGTGCCAGGTTGAGCGATCTCCATGCGGGAGGTACGTGCACATCAGCGTGAAGGACCCATGGAGACCTCTCCCCACCCTCTGTCTCAGCGCGCTCAATCGGCCACTAGCCGAACATGATTCGACTGTAAGCCTGTGTGGGAGACCGCAGACCTGCAGCAATATTGAACAACAATCAATCTGATAAGAAGCCTCAGTTCCATACATGTTGGTGTTTTGAGACGTTCTGGGAGCCCAATGTCCGCACACCCACCCGCGGAGCCCGAGACCTCGCAGGCATCAGAGCAGGTCAGGCGCCCGCACCATCTGCATGATGATTCCTATGTGATGATAAAGCGATTCGAATGCCATGCCCAAAACGCGATGTATGCAATCTGCGCAGGTGGTCACGCCCTGGGATGTGACCGCCGACAGCGAGGGCAAGATCAACTACAACAAGCTGGTGGAGCAGTTTGGGTGTCAGAAGATCGACCCTGAGCTTGTGGCTAGGGTGGAAAGGGTGACGGGGGTGAAGGCCCACCCCTTCCTGAGGAGAGGCATCTTCTTTGCGCACAGGTCTGAGGGTGGCGAAGGCGGGGTTGGAAGGAAGGCGCTGGTTTTGTCTCTGCTGCCAGGCAGGATGTACACCTAGCAACACCCCCTGGAAGAAGCTGACTGTTTGCTGTCTGGACTCTCAGCATCGATGCTCGTCTGTTGAAATCTCTCGCAGGGATCTGACGGAGATCCTTGATGCCTATGAGCGCGGGGAACCCTTCTACCTGTACACCGGCCGGGTGAGAGCAATAAAATGAGGGTCCCAGCATCTTCTTGAAATGATGAAGAAGTAGGGGTGCAGTGGGTTTGATGGTCATGCAGAAGCCGCGTCATGTGAACAGACTTTGTAGTATGGCATGCTCAGAATTGTGTGCCCATATATGCAGGGGCCATCCAGCGAGGCTCTCCACCTTGGTCATCTCATCCCCTTCATGTTCACAAAATGGCTGCAAGACGCCTTCAAGGTGGGGTCCGGGTCTTCTCATTAGACGTTCTTCATTGTAGTTCAGATAGAGAGAGCAAGTGCCCCTTTGTGATGTTATTCGCATCAGCTGTCACTCCATAAATGTGCCCCATCACCCCCTGGGCCCCTACCCATACAGGTGCCATTGGTCATCCAGCTCACCGACGATGAGAAATTCTTGTGGAAGTACGTAGTATGGGAGAGTGACCATTCACCTTGGTGTGGCAGAGTGGGTGGTCTGGACTCCTTTGGCTCTGAGTTACACCATTGAGTTGCAACACCGAGGTGCAACACCCACCTCGCCTCATCCATCTCACACAGGGGTCTGTCTGTCGAGGAGGCCCAGCGCCTGGCACGAGAGAATGCCAGGGACATCATCGCCTGTGGCTTTGACATCACCAAGACCTTCATCTTCTCTGACTTTGAGTACCTGGGAGGCGCATTTTACCGCAATGTCGCACGCATCCAGAGGTGAGAATGGTCATTTGTAACGCACTCGTCAAGGAGCAACCCACCGCACAGTGGATGACACTGTTGTGTGATGCTGCGCATAGCACCCTGGAGGGCACCATTCGTGCCTCCTCGTCTGCCAGCTGTCCCCACTCACACCCATTGCAGGTGTGTCACCATGAATCAGGTGAAGGGCATCTTTGGCTTCACCACAGATGACTACATCGGAAAGATTGCGTTCCCTGCAATACAGGTGGGGCATGGCGGTGGCGTGTGGGGCCAGGTGCTTGGTGCGTCCCTGTACAGTGGGCCCCAGCTGTCTTGCATGTCAGTGGGGGGAGGCGCACATCATGAGAGCGTGCCGGCAGCCCTGCTCCTCCGGTGCACCATCCTCTGATGCCCAGGCTGAGCCCACACCCTCCGACACCCTGCAGGCTGCACCTGCCTTCCCAGACACCTTCCCCCACATGTTTGGGGAGCGGAAGGATATTCGGTGGGTGCCGGTCTGGACAGGGAGGTGGGGTATGGGCGGGGGCCGATATGCAGGCTGGGGCTTAACCCGTTGGCACGGCAAGCGCCTGGGAAGCAGCAAGGGCTCCTGGGCCCAGTTTCCCATGGCCCTGTCCCGGTGCAGCAGTGTGCGGCCCACACAGCGCTGTGCTGGCGCTCTGGCTTTCAGCATGTGCACAGCAGTCCGACGTCGGACCACTCATGTCGACATGCACCAGCCCCGCCTGCTGACCCTGCAGTCGTCCCTCAAACCCCACCTTCCTCCTCGGCCCCAGGTGCCTCGTCCCCTGCGCCATCGACCAGGACCCCTACTTCCGCATGACGAGGGATGTGGCCCCCCGCCTGGGTCACCACAAGACGGCCCTCATCGAGTCCTGCTTCTTCCCCGCCCTGCAGGCAAGGCGGGCTTGGTGTGGGGGGAATCCTGGGACTGCAGGGCTCATGAGGGCCAGCCGATCGATCCCGTCCACCTGATACACGCTCATCCTCGCCCCCATGCCCGTGCCCAGGGGGAGAGCGGCAAGATGAGCGCCTCCGACACCGCCTCGGCCATCTTCGTGACCGACACCGCCAAGGAGATTGACACCAAGGTGAAGAAGTACGCTTTCAGCGGCGGCGGCGCCACGCGGGAGGAGCACGAGAAGAATGGTGAGGCTTGCGGTGTCGCAGCTGTGGTGTGGGTTGCCAAGGTTGTTCAGGTCTCATGGCACCCTCCAGGGCGCATGGCCCCTACCCGTGCTCCTCTGCAGCACAGTGTGGGGGGCTGGGCCTCCACATGCGCTCTTCTCCCATGCACGTTGGGCCTCGATCCCCTCCTCGTACTGTCACCCCTACCCCCCTGTCCATTCCTTCTTGCCAGGGGCCAACCTGGACGTGGACATCTCCTACCAGTGGCTCCGTTTCTTCATGCAGGACGACACGCGGCTCGAGGAGATCGGGCGCGACTACGGCGCGGGGCGGCTGCTGACCGGTCAGGTCAAGGCCGAGTTGGTGGGCGTGCTGGCGGCGATGGTGCAGCGACACCAGGCCGCGCGGGCGGCGGTGAGCGACGCGGTGGTCGACGCCTTCATGACCCCTCGCGCCATGCCCGACCTGTTCCCCCCCCGGGGCTGACGGTGCTTGGGGTCCCGCGCTAGCCTTTGTGGGAAAGCAGCGTGTGAATGAGGAGGGAAATATCAGGGGTGGGCTCCGGGGCGGATGCTCAAACAAGGCAGGCGGGCGTTGCGCGCAGCTCACAGTGGGTTGCGACAGCCGCGTGATTGCTGCAGGGAATCATGGAGGAGTGCAGTACAGGGGATAGGGTAGGGGCCTCAGCCCCAGCCTTCACACGGCGGGCCCCCCGCGCCCGCAGCCGCCAAAGGCGGGGTGGCAGGGCGCAAGGATGACAGCTAGAGGCAGGGCGGGGCTGAGCACGGCCTGCAGCGTGCTGCGGGCCCTGCCGGGGTGCAGGAAGGGAGCTGCAAGGAAGCTGGCCAGCCGCTGCTCCTCGGGCGTCTGCGCCCAGTCGCCGTCATGACCCCGCCCGCCGGCCGTGCGCTGCGCCGCGGCGGCGGGCGGGACCTTGGCCATGCCGTCCATGAAGTAGGAAAAGGCCCCCAGCATGGCGCAGGACTGGAGGGCGCCGAGCGGCCCGTTGGCCCAGCCCAGGGCAAGGCCGGTGGCGCAGCCGGAGGCGGCACCGTTCCAGGCTGTGGATTGAAACAGGAGGTTCGGGGAGAGGGTTCAAGCAAACTGATGCTGCAAGCCAAGCAAGCTCAGATTTCAGTCCAGGGACGAGCCAGCGCACTCTGGGAAGGGCCTCTGAGTCATTCCAGGTCAGGGCCTTGTGGACACCCTTCCAAGAAGGATGACACTCACCGTCCTCTCTTTGTCGCAGGCGCTGCATGAAGCAACCCACGGCAGCGTACAGGCCCCCCATGATCGCGAATGTCTGCAAGTGAAAAGGCACGAGAGCTGTATCGAGCAGAGGGCCTATCCATACTGAGCAGAGGGGTGTGCCTACGAGTCAGGAGCCCACCACAACAGGACTCGTACCTTGGCCGATCCCCATCCCTCCGCCAACGAGCCACGTAGGTTGCCTTTCAAGCGTTGGCTAAACCAATAGCCCCCTAGCATTGGAGGAGGTGAAAGGGGTGTGTGCAGCAGGCCGGCAGGCAGACGAGGCAAGTCACCGAGTCCAGGCAGGCTCCCCCGCCCGACACTCTGCTGCGTACCAAAGCCGAACACGAAGCCCAGCGCTCCCCCGCTCGCGCCCGCAGAGAGACCCTTGAGTGTGCAGGGTGTTTGAAAGCCGCCGATGCTGTCCCCATCCACCTCCCTCGGTTCCAGCCCCGCTGTGCTCGAGTCCAACTGCAGACTGAGCACCGGCTCCTCGGCGGACCCCTCCTTGCGATTGCGACTCGCCATGATTCTATTCTGATCAGATTTCTGTCAGATTTCAAACGCCAGATTGCTCGAGTGTGCAGGCTCTTGTGCAAGCTGGAGCGCCCCCCCACCCCCTACCCCCCGCCGGCACATGGACCCGAAATCGAGAGCGCTTGGATCACAGTCCAGGAGCTCATACGATCCTAAGACGGTAATGAATCTTACACTATAGTAATCAATACAATATACGTCCTTCTTCCCTGGATGAGGACTGCTGAATGCGATCAGACTGACGAATCTTGATCACTGGGCGTGCCTCTGCTGACGACTGGCGAGCTTGAGCACTTTCCCTGCCATCCAAGGCCATTTGATGTCTTTTGTATAATAGTTTGTCATCAGAAATCAATGATGATTGATTTAGCTCGGCTCGAGTTACTCAGGCCGGCATCCTGTCATGAGCTCCTCTCACAGTCAGGCTCGGCAGGGCACTGTCCTCCGGTTCCCCAACCCCGCCTCTTGACACGAGATTGCGGAACGAGAAGCTGCGGCTCGCCCTGGAAGAGTTCACACCGACACCGTATGCGCCGCATGGAATAAACGGCCACGGGAGGAGAGGGTCTCCTCATGCCCTGGTCCAGTGATGAGGAAACGAGAAACGGGGAAACCACTACTGCGCTCAGACCTTTTGAACCAGGTGCGCCTTCCAGTCTGCTCTGTGAGCGCGTCAGTCCAGCGTGAGGTCCTAAGATTCCATTGTAGCGAGTGGCACCGGCGTCACCATCTTCTCGTGACTCCCGCTCCGCGGGATTGCTGTGGACCGGCGCAGGTGGCGAGGGGATCGGGTAGGGCTACCCACATTCGGATTACGAGCATGCTGCTACCATGCTGACAGTGGTGGGGGCATTGCGAGCTGGGGATGTGGTCATGTGAGGGCCTCGGGATCCGCCGGCACTGTGATCAGGGACCCGCCCGACTCCGACTGCGCTGAGCCCGGGTTTCCTGCCCCTCCCTACGGCACCACAGCAGGACTTTCGGACCCAGTGATTGTGTGACGCTTGCTATTTCGTCATGTTGGGACCTGGAGGAAGGTGGGGAGGGCTGTGGTGCAGGGTACCTGGGTGCACATGAGGGTATGGGGTCTCTGTCTCTCTCTGTGACGCCCTGTAGAGTTGCTTTGCTCTGGACACGTGAATATCATGGGCCATTGTCTCCTTGGACATGGGCACCACGGCTCCCAAGACTGAAAGTTTCGCGGCATCCCCCGCCGCGCAGGCCTCGGCGCATGGTGTCCCTGGGCAAGGTCTCTGCCCCGAAGCCGGTGAATCTCCCCTCCCAGCGCAAGGAGAACAACGGCAACGACCCGTCCATAGACCTCGTCCGCAAGTCTGCCAACGGCGGGTGGGGCGCCGCCTCTGGCGCGACCGAGTCCCCCACCGCCTCCTCCTGCAGCGAGCAGCAGGCAGCGAATCTGACGTCCGAGCCCCGATCCGCAAACGGCGAGGGCATCCCTTCTGCGGTGGCGCCCTCCCGCGTCATCCCAGCAGGACCCACCCCGGCCTGGGGTGGGCTGGGCATGCCCGAGGAGCGAAAGGTGAGGGGTTGATGTGGCGTGTGTGTGTGTTTGGATGGGGTACATCATGGCGCTGGAGAAGAATTCAGATCTGCTGGCCTGCGCAGCCTCCGCTCGCGTCCGCCGGTCGCTTCTCGTGGGATGGGTGGCCGGCGACTGCGCCTGCCAGCCTGTGGAGCCAGCACACAAGCCTTCAACACACTCCCCACCCCATCGCGCAGAGGGCCATGGAGCAGGCCAGCCGCGAGCAGTTCCCCACCCTGGGTCTAGACGTGCGGGGCCCCCATGGCCCCCACTCCTCCATGGGCTGGGAGGGTGACGAGCGCGGCTATGTCGCCCCGCCCGGCGACGAGGACGGCGGCCACCGCGGCTACCGGCGCGGCTACGGCCCCGGCCCCGGCCCCGACGGCCCCGGCTACCGGGAGGCCCCCCACGGGCGGGACTGGTACCGCGGCGGCGAGGGCTACGCTCACAGTATGCGGCCGCCCCACCTCAACGAAGACGCCCTGCCGCGCTGCTCCGGCGGCGTCCGCGAGCGGCGGCTGGAGAGTCAGGACTTCCGGCGCACGGAGGAGTACGTGGAGCAGTACGTGCCCCCGCCCCCGCCGCCCCCTCGGGTCCCGCAGCCGATGCACCCGCGCGGCGGCGAGGCGTTCCCCCCCTCCTTCCACCAACAGCCGACGGCAGGGGCGGCGACGGCAGGGCGGGGCCCCGGCCCCAACGCCCCCTCCCACGGCGTGGTCGTCCCGCCGCCGCCGCCCCCCGCTGCCCCCCGCCCCGACCGCACGACCAGCGGCGAGAGCGGGCTGTCGCACGACACCTCCGACGGCACTGCAGCCAGCAGCCGCCGCGCCACCGTGGCCTCCTCCCTCCCTCGCTCCGACCTGAGCGCTGGGGTGGGGGGCGGGCTGGGGGAGGTGAGCAGCCGGGACCTGGGCCCGCAGTCCATCGGCGGCCAGGGGGTGACCTCCCCGCGGCAGCTGCCGCGGGGGTCGCCGCCGCGCGCCCCGCAGCCCGCGCCGCCCCCGCCCCGCATCCTCAAACGCCCCGACTCCCCGACCCGGAGGCCTGGCGAGGCCGCGGCGGGGCCGGCGGGCGCCCAGCTCCCCGCTGCGGCGGGGCCGCCGCTCGCCGCACCGGGCGCGCGAGAGGTGCCCCGGCCCGCGCCTGGGCCCCAGGCCTCCTCCCCCGCCCGCCAGCAGCTCCCCTCGCAGGCCTCCTTCCTGCACCACATCAGCTCCCCCGCCGCCGCGCCGGCGCTGGCGGCTGCGGGGCCGGGCGGCGCCGATGCGCTGCTGCACCCCTTCCCCGGCGGGCCGCTGCAGGCCGGCGGCCACCCCCCGCACCCGCTGCTGGGGCCCGGGGGCGCCCCCCCATGGTGGTGCTGACGCCCGCGCAGGCTGCCTCGCTGGCCGCCTTCCAGCGCCAGGCGGCTCTGGCGGCAGCAGCGGCGCAGCGCAGCGGCGCAGCGCCAGGCGGTGGGGACGCTGGCGGCGGCAGCGGCGCGGGGCCCCCTTTCCGGGGCCAGCCGGGCCTGCCGCACATCTGGCACCAGGGCCCGCCGCTGGGCGCGCCGGGCGCCCTGCCCCAGCCGCTGATGACGTTCGGCGCTGGCGCCGCGCCGCGCGGCGCCAGCCTGGCGCAGGAGGTGCAGGAGCAGGTGGAGGCCGGGGCCGAGGACGGCGCGCTGCTGTTCGGGCAGCAGGCCATACGCGAGGCCGAGGCGGCGGCCGCTGCGGCGCGGCCGGACCGCCGCAGCGCGGCAGGGCCGGCTCCCACGCCCGCCGAGGCGCAGTCCGCCTTCATGAGGGCACGCGCGCAGGAGAAGGCGCGCAAGCTGGCGGCGGGCGGGCCACGTTCTAAGGAGGGCGTGGAGGCCAGAGGTCGGGCCGGGTGGGGGTGGGTGGTGGTGAGGGGTCCGTGGGTGAGGGTCACTCCTGCCTGTGCAGGTGCGTGGGGTGTTTACACTGAGGCCAGCATCCGTGCAGCATTTGCTTGCGGCGACCCGGGGCTGTGGCTCGGGGTCAGGACTCGAGGCTGGCCAGCGGCACGACTGTGGGGTGGCGCCACGGTGTCGGGGTCGAAGGGCTGCCTAAACTCTCGGAGGTAATGTGCCGCTTGAGTGCCGCATGCCAACCATTCTCCTATCGCTGCCCCAATCAGCCGCAGGCGGCGAGGGCCAGGGCGGCAACGCCACGGCCAACGGGAAGCAGCGCCGCGACAACGGCCACCGCCGGCAGGCCGCGGCCGAGGGCGCCAACGGCGGCCCGCACGCCAGGACCGCGCCTGCCAAGGCGGCCGGCGCCGGCGCGGCGCAGGGCCCCGGCATGCTGCAGGCCGGCAAGGGCGCCAGGCGCGTGGTGGAGCTGCGGCGCCCGGTTGCAGTCCAGCCGGCCAAGCCGGCGGGGGGAAACGAGGTTGCAACGCAGGACGGCGCCGCGGCGCGGCCTGCGGCGCCCAAAGAAAGCGCGGGCCGCGGGCGAGGCGGGGCGAGGCGCAAGGCCTCGGGCGGCAAGCCTGGCGCGGCGACTGCCGGCGGCGAGGGCACGCCAGCGCCCCCGGCCACGCCCGCGCCGCGGGAGGCCGAGCCCGAGTCGGCGCGGCGGGAGGGCGGCCCGGCGCAGGCGGCGCGCGGCAAGCGCCGCCCGGCGCCGCCCAAGGCCGCCGCGGAGGCGGGAAGGCCGGAGGCGGGGGGCGTGGACTCCGAGGGCGCAGCTCCTGGTGCCGGACAGCCCAAGCCGAGTGAGTTGACGACGAGGGGGGGCCGGCTTGTGCCGCTGCATAGGGAAGTGTGGAATGTCACACGGCCGCCAGGGCGCGCGACTGTTGGGGACACGCGCCTGCAAGACCGTGGTTGGGGTCATGAAAGTTTGGGCATCCCTTTCCTCAACGCCCTTCCTCGTCCCTCGTGCGCAGAGAAAGCGGGATCCCGGTCTCAGCGGCGAAACCGGCCTGCCAAGGCAGGCGCAGGAGAAATCGCTGGCGCCGCCGTGCCCGCCGACCGGGGCCCTGCTGACTCGCCGACGCCCGGCCCGTGAGCATGCTGCCCGTCTGCTGCCTGCCCGGCAGCACTCCCAAAAACTAGTTTCCCCTGCCCTAGCCTGCAACCGGTCCCTTTCCCCCTTGGGGACAGTGTACACGCACTCCCTTCAGAACAGTTGTGGGGAAGGTCTGGGAAGACCTGGGGAGGCGCGCATGGCCACGCTGGTTACCATTCAGAGCGGCCTGCCACATGAGGCTTGACTTCCACGTTTCGAGAAGCGTGAGGAGCCACGCTGCCACCCGTGTGCCGGCACGGCGCGCCTCGGTCTTTGCAGCGATGCCAAGTCACCTCCACGTCAGGCTGCGGCCTCGCGCCTCAGCACCTTGCGTGCCACGCCGCCTTGCGCACCAAGGCGGCCGCTGTCCCCCCTTGCGCCTTCCTTTCCCCCCTCCTCTCACCCTGCGCCGGCTCACCCCTCGCCATCGCGCGCGTCCACGGCGGAGTCGTTCAGGGCGCAGGCCACCACGCCCTTGTGGTGTCCCGAGTAGACGCGGATGGCCTCGCCTGAGGCCAGATCCCACAGGCGCGCGGTGCAGTCGGTGCCGGCGGTGACCAGGTAGGCGGCGTCCACGGAGAAGACGCAGTCCCACACCCACCGGCTGTGCCCCGTCAGCGTGCGCTCCAGCGAGAAGCCATCCAGGTTCCACAGCCGCACCGTGCGGTCAGAGGAGGTGGTGGCCAGGTGCCGCACGTCGGGGCTCAGCGCGCATTTCAGGATGTAGCCGCCGTGCGCCTTGAGCTTGTGCAGCGGCTCGAAGTGGGTGGACAGGCCGCTGCCGCGCATGGCGCGCCAGACGTAGCAGGTACCGCTGGGCGCAAGGATGGGAAGAAGGGGGGGGGAGGGGTTTGTCGGCAGCGTTGCGAGCAACAGGAAGGAGAGGGCGGGGATGGGCGGGCTGTGAGCTCAGCATGGTCTGCTCCCGATCACAGCGAGCCTCGATACCCAAATGGGGCACTCATCAACACGCCAGGCTTGCAGCATGTGCAGTCCCATGCACAGTTCTAGCTGCTAGGGTCTATATCCCCGCGCGAAGACCAGGTGCCACCCCCCTCCTCCTCCCTGCGCCCCACCCAGTTCACATGGGAGCCTGGCTCCTCTGACCTCACAACACCCACCTGTTGTTTGCGGCCACCATGAGGCTGCCGTCCACTGCTATCGTGAGGGAGCGCACGCCCACGTTGAGCTCCGGCACCAGCTCGCAGGAGCACGCGTTGGCGGTCAGGTCCCAGACTCGGATGTTGCCGTGCTGGTCGCCTGACGCAGCAGGGTGGAGAGGTAGGGGGTTGAGCACGGGCTTGGCATGCAGACGGGTCTTTGTTTGGGGAGGAATCTTGGTGGGAGATCGGTCTCTTGTTGAACTGAACAGAGCCTGAGTGTGTGGCTAGCTCTGGACCCCTGGGGAGGCAGCGCCCCCACGTCAGCCACGCACACACCGCTGGGTTTAGATACACGCTGCCCCAGACTCGACACGATTCCCACCCCACTGGAAGGACCCCACCCCACACGATACACGACCTCGCCCCACACCCATCACCAACCTCGACCCACCCGATATGAGCTCGCCCTGCTGCGGATGCAGGACCACGGTGTTCACCGCCGCGCGACTCTCGTACTCTCGCTGGCACCCGGGCGCGCGCATGTCCCAGATGCGCACCGTGCCGTCCTCGGACCCGGTGTACATCCACTTGCCGTCCTTCTGGAAGCCGACGGCGGTGACGTTGGCGCTGTGCTGGTCAAAGGACAGCACCGGCTGCGGGTTGGCGCTGGCCACGCTGAACAGGCGCACGTGGGGGTTCCCCGCGGCCGCGATCAGGGTTTTGTCCGCCGTGATCTCCAGCTTGTTGACCTGGGAGTCGGGGAACTGCAGGGTGCGGTAGCAGATGCCGCTGGTGGCCTCCCAGAACCTGGGAGGGAAAGTCCAGATGGGGCAGAGGTGAGGGGTGAGGGGTGCAGTCAACCGCCCCCCACCCAGAGTGTGAATGAATCGCAAGGTCCAGATCGATCCCATGGCGCACCGGATGGTGTGGTCATACCCGGCGGTGGCCAGGACCACCGAAGACCCCATGGCACCCGGGAGGGCGGCTCAGGCCGGGAGCCTGAGATCCAGGCCCATGCACACTTCTGGGCAAATCTTTCTTTTAGATTGAAAGGCGCGATCTGGTCCAAGTCACGGTGATGAAGGGAGGGGATAAGGGTTGGGCCCTGTCCGCCGAGGGGTGAGCTCGCGGCACTGAGACGCAACAGGGGCGCGATGCAGAGGCACAGATGAGTCAGAGCCTCGATCGCATGCTGTTATGATGTAGTCCTGGTTTCCATGGTGGGTGGCCATCGCTTCATCGAACTGTCAGGAGGCATGGGCTCGCCCCCCTTCCCCTGCCCAGCGCGCGCGGACTCGTTCCCCGTGACCGTTGCCGATGACAGCAACACACCCCCTTTGCACCTTTGATGTAAGTCGTTAAAACATTAAAGCCACGTCGATCCAACACATGAGTGCAAGCTCAAGGCAAGGTCGGTATGAAAAATTCAAGTACACAATTCTTCTGCGCGCGAGCAGACGGAGCGTCAAAGACGAAGTATTAGCATCATTTGGCAGCCGCCTTGAACGGGAGCCAAACTCCCCCATGTATCCAGCGAGAGCCGACCGCACATTTGGGTCTGAGCGTCAGGATCCGGGGAAGTTGTGTGCATTGTGGGGAGAGATGCTGTGGGCGTGGGGGGACTGGGCTTTGGGGAGAGGGGCGCCCGTGCTTGGGAGGGCGTATGCCGTGCATGGGTAAAGGCTAGGGAAACAGGTGGGTGGGGGGGGGGGGGGGTAGTGGGGGGGCTGGGCTGGCATGGCAGCAGCTGCAGCGATGGACAAAGCCATCGAGCTTATGAGGCAACGGTCAGTAGAGCTTCATCGAGGGGCCAACGAGGCTCACAAAAAATGGGGGGGGGCAGGTGGGGGGGGCAGGATACAGAAAGGTAGGGGTTTGGGCG